ATTCCTTCTTCTCCCCACTCCCTCCCTCATATCTCCTCCCTCCTATCCCCACTCCCTCCTACCCCCACTCCCTCCTTTCCCCACTCCCTCCCTCCTATTCCCACTCCCCCCTCCCTCCTATCCCCACTCCCTCCATCCCTCCTATCCCCACTCCCTCTCTCCTATCCCCACTCCCTCCCTCCCTCCTATCCCCACTCCCTCCCTCCCTCCTATCCCCACTCCCTCTCTCCTATCCCCACTCCCTCCCTCCCTCCTATCCCCACTCCCTCTCTCCTATCCCCACTCCCTCCCTCCCTCCTATCCCCACCCCCTCCCTCTTATCCCCACTCCCTACTACACCCTACTATCCTCACTCACTGATATCCTCACACCCATCCTATCCCTATTCCCTATCCCAATCCCCTCCAGCTGTATGACTAACCGCAATCAATGACATACAATTATCTCTGACAATTACTCGCACGTGACCCTGTAACTAGACGGACTATCAGCTGCGGGGGGAGGGTGGTGTATCGGGGGGGGGGAGGTCATCGAGGGTGCGTCTAGCAATGACGAGCAGAACACGATGTGCTCTGCTCAACACTGCACACGTAAACATCGGGGGGGGGGGGGGGGGGGGGGGGAAATCCAAGACAAACTATGTGGGATGTGGCCTGGGATGGGGCGGGGTGTGAGCGTGGAGAGAGTATGCGGTGTGGATAGCCGGATGTGACGTCTAGGGTGTCACTGTGGGGGTGGTGGTGTGATGGATTAGGGCGGGGTGCTGTGTGGATATGCGGATCTTGAAAAAAATAAACAAACTAACCGTATCAGTAGAAGACAAAAGTTGGATACTGATAAGACTAGTAATGCCTGCGATTTTTCCGCCTCTTTTATTAAAATCGTCTCTGCAAGCATTTCATCAATTTTTTTTTTCGTGTACAGCCTGTTGTAAGGACCTGAACAGCCTGACAAGCCATCTACAGCACGCTGTCAAGACCTGAACACCTCTATCGAACAATGAACAGCACAAGAAATAGTTCCAATAACTATATATAGTTATTACAAATTCAGTAAACCACAAAGAAATTAATGATTGTATAATTAAACCGTTGCCTTACTTTTAGAAGTAGAAGGTCTATTTGTTTCACATTTTTCAAAGACGATTCCGGGTTCAAACAAGCGAATTATGTATCGAATTATTTAATGTAAATAATTTTTTTAAAAATCTATTGGCTGTTCAAGAAATAACAATGCCCGTCATATAAACATTTATTACATTATGACAATGAACATTAATGGACATTAAAGGACAGTACGAAACAAGACTTTCTCTATACTTCGTATATACGAGAAAGTAAAAATTGATTGAAAAATATCTGACGAGCTTTTGACGCACCATGTTCGCGAAGAAACTTTTCAAATTACAGCTGTTGCGTTACGATATTGTAAAGACCATTTGCTTTGTTTGTTTGCATTTAACTTCCACTTTGGTATACTTCAAATTTTTTTCCCCTTTAAGTGAAAACTACAACTCATAAATAAATTCGATGTAAGGAGAAACAATTACAAAAATGTAATCCCAAACACAAGTTTGTTAAATTCTCCCCCCCCACCTCCTTCAACCCCCATCACCACTCCCTCATTATTTTAATACCCCCCCCCCCCCGCCATCAGTACAGTTCCAGACGATGACAACTCAACAAACACACTGGCATTATCGTCACCGTCCCGCCCGCAAACCACAGAGTAAAAGTTACTATTGATTTCTCGGATCCCCTATTGCGCATGCGTGACGATTACCGTTGAGAAGATTATGTTAATTATTTCTTGGATCAGACAAAATCGCATTTTGCGATCCCAAGTTGGGTTGATCAGTTTTCGTGTCATTAATGTGATAATTTTTTTTAAAGGACTCGATATTTTAAACCGTGTTGTTTTATTAAATAATTACAGAGGTAAGGATGTCATATGTTTTTAGCCGCAATATTTCACATAACTATCTAAGTGGTTGTGTTACAAAAATATTGTAAGTTAGAGCTACTAACTACAACATTTTTTTTTCCCAGAAAGTTGTGGGAAATAAATGTTTTTAAAATTTCACTAAACAAATTTTCCTTTATCTGACGCTAGTAAAGGTACGGTCATATTTTGAGATTATAATGACATGTAATATAAATGACAAAGCTGCGGACTGCATTTTTGTAGTGAATGAGATCACAGACCATAACTCATTAGTCTTGATTAAATCAACCAGCTTTAATTTAAAAGAAAATAAATCACCTATTTAAAATTGTTAAAAGTAGGTTATTTGGAAAACTTTCAGTTTATAACCTTAAAAATCGGGAAACAATAGACCAATATTTATGGTTTAAGATGGCGGTACGTTTTGACTGGATAATTTATTACACAATTTTTTAAAGCTCTGTAAAAAGATATTTTACGCGATTGGGCGTTTATAATATTACAATAGATCCACTTTCTACGGGCTTCCAACAGACCAATTATTTTTAAGACTACTGAAAATTTTACTATTAATTTTAGAACGCAGGGTGGGGAGGGTGCTGGAACACTTGGTTCGTAAAGTGGATCTTTTGGCGACAGTGAAGTAAACTGCCGTAAACATTGGTGCAAGACAGCTAAAATATTCCAAAATAAAGAAGTTGTCGTAAAATGTTTCAAGTAAAACGACAACATGTACCACTACTCATGATAAAATCATTGTTTTGGCTATAATGTATCCTGCTTGAAGGTAGGCTACATCTTGGTTTGGTTGAGGCCTTGTCAACATGGCGGCTCACCAACCAACAAAACAAAACGAATGTGTATAATAGATATGGAATCATAGTTATGCTTGTTAAGGGTCGTCTATAAATGATGTACTGACACAAATTTATGGATCTACTTGGATGTTAGTCCAGCCCATGTTAACATGGGGGCGTATAACTATAATCCAACCAAGCAATACAAAACGAACGTATATACAGAATAACTATGGAATCATATGTTTGTTAGGGGTCGTACATAAACGATGTGTTGACCCAAATGTATCTTCTAAGTACTTGGATGCACATCATAGGTTAATCCAGCCTTTGTCCGCATGCCGGCGTGCAATCCAACCAAGCAATACAAAACAGAAAAACTATGGAATCATATACTGTTAGGGGCAGTGTTTCTTCCAGACTTTTTTTTCCGGGGGGCACTTGAAATTTTCGGGGGGGGGGGGGGCGGTAAACTTTCTTCGGGGGGGGGGGGGGGGCGGACACTGTTAAAAGTATATATTTTCTATATAAATTATATAAATTTCATTTCGTTCGGGGGGGGGGGGCGGTAAAAAAATTTCGGGGGGGGGGGGGGGGCGGCATCGCTTCGCCTCCCCGAAGAGATGCCTGGAAGAAACTCTGGTCGTACATAAATGATGTTACATTCCTGTGTGTTTCGGACTTTGGTGATGCTGTGTTGAGGAGAAACAGATGGGAAGTAGTCTAGAAAATAAAACCTAACACGATGACAAATTCCATAGAAAATAACACCTAACACGGTGACAAATTCCAAAGTGTTTTTTATACTGAATTGCATTTTGAACAGTTATTGCGAATTTGCATTGATTTTTTTTTTAATACAATGACGAACCAGCTGCTTACAAAGGGCGACCTTACCCAGCCATCCCAATCCCGCTTCGTTACCCCCGCCATAATGGCCCAGCGCTCAGAGCAAATGTTGCAATTTTTAAAATAAAACTGTTTAAAATTTTAAATACAGATTTTCTATCCGGGGTAGAGGTATGGTTAGCTGAAGTTGGGGTAATTTTTGGGCAGGTGGTATGAATTTTTTTGTGACGATGTGATGCGATGTAAAAAGGAAGCGGAGGGGGGGGGGAGGATGGGGGGAGGGATTTATCGACGACCCCCACCCCCCACCACACACACACACACACAAGAAAGAACAATTTTTACTTTCTCGTATATACGAAGTATAGAGAAAGTCTTGTAATCGTGCATACATTAAAAAAAATCGAGATTTTTGCAAATCTCGACGTTTTAGGGCTCCCTGAGTCGGAACAACATAGTTTTGCAATCTTGTCCGTATGTCTGTGTGTGTATGTGTGTCAGTGTGTCTGAGTGTGTGTGTGTAAACACGATAACTTGAGTACCGTTACAGCTAGGTTGATGAAATTTCATATATAAGTATTATATCAAAATCGTAGATCCGTACCAACTTTTGAGCGATTTCCGATTACCGGAAGTGGAACTTTTTCTACTTTGAATTTTTCAAAAGCCTATAACTTGCGTACTATTTCAGATAGATAAATGAAATTTCACATGTAAGTAAAAGATCTAATTCTATCAAATTTTGAGTAATTTCCGTCGACCGGAAGTCGTAATTTACGCTATTTCCGATTTCTTAAAAAAACGCATGTGAATTTATAAAGTACTAATAATATCCTGCACTATTATGCACATTTTGTTTGGCGTTCGCTTAGTGTAAAATTCTTTTTTTTACGAGATTCTATTCTATTTTTAAAAGTTTAATTAATTAAAAATGGATTAAAAATATTGTCTATGTCCCGAGTTGCCATCCCCAGTAGTGTTATATTAGAATATTCGAGAAAGTTTATGGGAGATCACTCCCGGTTCATTATAAAAAGTGATGTGTTTAAGATATTAACAAACTTCTGATGGTTCGTGCGTAATTAAATAATGTTAACCTTAATCATCAAACACACTTCCAATAACATGTCTTAATTATAATTAAATATATCCTGGGAAACTGTTTATAGGGCAATGTGTTTTTTTGTGGAATTTTTTCGCGTATTTGTCGGAAACGAAACAGCTTAAAGAAAATTTATATCTACTTTTTTTAATGATTCTGTGAATGCTTACTGTAGAAATAGGAAACCGATTATAGTTGTAGGGTGATTTGTTGGGTGTATGGTTACATATCAAAACAAGTTTCTCTGTTTGAATGTGTTTCAGTGTATGTTCACATAATACAACCAGTTTCTCTTGTTTTCTAGATGTTTCGGTGTATGCTACCAAAGAAAGATCAAACCCCACCTTTGATTGCTGACCTTTCAGAAGTTTTAGCCGACAGGTAAGTGTCCAATTAAGGCTGAGTCAGTGATCAATATTCTCGGTAAGAGGAGGGGGTTATAAGTTCGTTTCTGATCTTCTTTTATAGTAAAATACTCATTTAAGAAACGGTGAAGAGATTATAAATTTGAAAGTTTTTCCCCTTCAATTCTACAATTTAAAATATGGAAATAAAATACACCTATACGTACGGCTCTAAAAATACTTACCCAGTAACGTTACGGCTAGGTTGATGAAATTTCATATATAAGTATTATATCAAAATCGTTGATTCGTATCAACTTTTAAGCGATTTCCGATAACCGAAAGTGGAACTTTTTCTACTTTGAATTTTTCAAAAGCCTATAACTTGCGTACTATTTCAGATAGATAAATGAAATTTCATAAGTAAGTAAAAGTTATAATTCTCTGCCTTCTATCAAATTTTGAGTAATTTCCGTTGACCGGAAGTAGTAATTTACGCTTTTTTCCGATTTCTCAAAAAAAAAAGGCATATGAATTTATAAAGTACTAATAATGTCCCGCACTATTATGCACATTTTATTTGGCGTTCACTTGGTGTGCAATTCTTTTTTTACGAGATTCTATTCTATTTTAAAAAGTTAAAGTAATTAAAAATGGATTAAAAATATTGTCTATGTCCCGAGTTGCCATACAGTAGTGTTATATTAGAATATTCGAGAATGTTTGGGGGAGATCACTCCCGGTTTATTTTGTTTTATAAAACATCGATTTCCTGATTTACAATTTACAAAAAGAACAGTATTTTAAAAGCGCGAGATAACGGCTAAAGTTCAGATTCTAACATTAATTTATTAAATTCAAAAGTATGTTGTACCTCTATCTGGAACCCCCCCTCCCCCACCTTCCGTGTCACACATCGTCACAAAATTCCGACCCACCACACCCCCCCCCCCCCCCCCAGTGGCGGAACTAAAAAAAAAAGGCCCCCCAAAAATTTTTTTTAGGCCCCCCCCAAATATATATATATATATATATATATATATATATATATATATATATATATATATATATATATATATATATATTTACAATAACATAATACGAACATAGGATACTCGTTGCTGTCCTGTTCGAAATTTGAAAAAACGTCAATTAAAATTTTTTTCAACATTATGTAATGTGTGTAAGTGAATTAGCGTGTTTTGTGAAAAACCTGTGTTAATTGATTTTTACAAGCTTTTATTCAACTCACTTCCTCTGTCTGTCTTGACGGAAACGCAGGAGTGAAAATTCGGACAGTTCTACTTGACCGATACGATTCACAGTTGGCACGTGGGTCAAGACATGAAGACAATGCAATCTGAAACTAAATTTGACTTAATTGGATGCCTAATTAATTTTTTATGAATTAATAAAAATTTGGACCGAATTAGTAGGCATGTCTAGCCAACCACACCACACGCGTCATCACCTTCAATAGCTGCGCCATCACGTAATGGCTGCGTTCAAAAACCATTGCGCGCCTACTGAACGTGATGTTCAGTAGGCGCGCAATGGTTTTTAGTCATGTAACTCTATTGTAAATAAAACATGTAAAGTACTGAAAAAAAAGTTCATAAAAAACGTTTTAATAACAAGCTTTTATGTAATGATGCACTAAAAAGTAGAAAATAAATTATAGACTACTATTTAAATAACTATAAAGAAAAGCGTGGGTGTCTTCCTTAACATTAGTAAAGGTATCCAATAGATACTAAAGTGACCCACGCTTTTCTTTATAGTTATTTAAATAGTAGTCTATAATTTATTTTCTACTTTTTAGTGCATCATTACATAAAAGCTTGTTATTAATTTTTTTTTTTTTTTTTTTTTTTTTTTTTTTTTTTTTTTTTCTTTTTAAATACTTTTATTTGCAATTAAAACAAGTACATCAACATCAAATTTTTTAACATAATTTTGAACACCAAATGAAAACGAAAGGTTTTGCAAATGTACATAATGAATATTTACATGATGTCATGTATTTGATTATAAAAAAAAAAAAAAAAAAAAAATTTCAAAGGATGACAGTAAAAGGGGTGAAGGTCAGATGAAAGTGTCAGAAATTTTTTTAATAGAAGCCCTCGTAGAAACTTGTCGGTCAAAATAATATAAAACATGAAAGCTTTGTATAAGTAATGGTGTCTCGTGTTATGTTTATTTTTATGTGTTTTTTTTTTTGTAGTTATATTATTAATTTTCTAAATATTATTGATTTTATACATTTCAATACTTTTCCTTTTTATACAATATTATTCTTTAGTAATTACTTATAGAAAAAATAATAATTAAGAGAAGTAATTGCTTTTTAATTTGTTTAGTACAAATCTATTAAAAGGAGCTTATGATCACCCCTATTTGACTATTTTTTAAAAAAGGGAAATAAGTCATGGTTTGAAATTTGCTTATCTTTGATAGGTTTAATTGTAGATGAAAGACTCGGCTTTCAAAGTTGTTTAAAAACAAAGGGAAAAAGAAGATACAAGATCGTGGTGTCTATAGAATAAAGATAATCCAACCGCAGCTACGGTAATTTTTTACAAAACAACCATCAAGTCAAAAATGAAAGAAAATTTACTTTTTTTTAACTATAAAAAAATTTATTATAGTCGGCTCTGGGCCCCTAAATGGCGTGGCCCCCCGCATTGCGGGGTCTGGCGGCACTGTAGTTCCGCCCCTGCCCCCCCCCCCCCTTTAGAGTGTGACGTCCTTTATGGGCGACATAAATTTAGGTTTTACTTTGGTTCGTGTTTTTTTTTTTATTTTCTTATATTAACATGAATTGTACGGCCGTGGTATAAAGATTCCTCTTTAGACCTTGCGATCCATTTGGCAGATGAAGTAAAGCTTAATGTTTCTTGACCTCGGCTTATGATGGGAAGGTGTGGCCAGCCACATTTACTTTCCCCAACACCAGGTACACACGGCCGTGCAATGCACTACGTTAAAATTTGACTAGAACAGTGCTTCTTCCAGACTTTCTTCTCGGGGGGGGGGGGGGGCACTTGATATTTTCTCGGAGGGCGGACAACATTTTCCAGGGCGGGTGCGGATACTGGTAAAATTATATGCTTTCTATATAAATTCCATTTGGGGGGGGGGGTGGAAGAAACTCTGGACTAGATTAATCCCAATCTTTGCTTCCAGCGCGTGGAATGCCTTCTATTCAACATTTACACCAATGCAAAAGCTGTTCCTGAAGAGAGATCACTTCGAGATCAAAGTTCCCGAGAGTTACTTCGCTTTTGACAACGTCGCCGTTGACACAGCTGAGCCGGAAACAGATGCCACGCCCCAGAAGCAGGCGACACTAGAAAATGTGATAGTTCCCCCTGATTCAACAAAGTAAGAATATTGTCTTATATATCTTTGTACTTCTCCGTAATAGACTACAAATGGTCAATAATTAGCAGAATGGGTTGTCAAACGGTTGATCTATATCTTAACCAATCATTAACTAAACATCTAACTATAAATTAATTAGTCAACCATATATATATATATATATATATATATATATATATATATATATATATATATATATATATATATATATATATATATATATATATATATATATATATATATATATATATATATATATATATATATATATATAAATAGAGAGAGAGAGAGAGAGGGAGAGAGAGAGAGGGAGAGAGAGAGAGAGGGAGAGAGAGAGAGAGAAAAAAAGAGAGAGAGGGAGAGAGAGAGGGAGAGTTGAACCCTCCGACCCCCTCTGCCGGGCCAATCCTGCATGCTCTCATGTAGATATTAATTATTTTGTGATAAGCAACATATGTATCATCAGTATGGTGTAAACCTTGAACGGATCGTTAAATTAAAACCGCTCGTTGTAGTGTAAAAGTAAACCAATCAGAATCGCCCAAATGCTATACATTGTACTCAGTGCGAATTATTTGATTGATCAGTTTGTATTGAGAAATCTAGGTTTTTTAGAGGAGACATCGAGGAATTTTAGAGGTGGCATATAGGGATTTTAGAGATGACATCTAGGGATTTTAGAGGTGACATCTAGGAATTTTAGAGGTGACATCTAGGGATTTTAGAGGTGACATCTAGAAATTTTAGAGGTGGTATCTAGGGATTTTATAGGTGACATCTAGGGATTTTAGAGATGACATCTAGGAGTTTTAGAGGTGGCATCTAGGAATTTTAGAGGTGACATCTGGGAATTTTAGATGTGACATCTAGGAATTTTAGAGGTTTAATTTTAGAGTTGACATCTAGGAATTTTAGAGGTTTAATTTTAGAGGTGACATCTAGGAATTTTAGAGATTTAATTTTAGAGGTGACCTCTAGGAACTTTAGAGTTGACCTCTAGGAATTTTAGAGATGACATCTTGAAATTATATAGGTGACATCTAGAAATTTTAGAGGTGACATCTAAAAATAATAGAGGTGACACTCAGGGACAATAGGGATGAATAGAATATGTGACGTAATCCAGTGACATGGCCGATACGTTTTCCCTTACAAAAAATAATTCACTTTCTTTAGCTCTTCACAGCTATTTTCTGAACTCCATCCCTTAACGAAACTAACTCACTTACCTCCCTTACCTTAGGAAGCTATTTGTTACCTCCCTTACCAATCATATTTAAGGGGCCTCTACATGTAAAAAATGATTTGTTACCTCCCTTACCAATCATATTTAAGGGGCCTCTACATGTAAAAAATGCTAATTAAGGTTGGAAAAAAATATTTTTAGGAAATTGATGTTTTAATAAATTTCATATTCCTAGAATCGAAAACAGTTTCAAGTACACTTGTACGATACATTTTTCTATTTTAATTATAATTTTAAAGACACCACCCTCTGCTTAAAAAATCAACTTTTTAATCAAATTTCTGAAATTTTGAGTTGATTTTTATAAAGCAACTAAAAAGAAAAATATAGTATATTATATATCATTTTTTTCGTCTGTTTGAGCCGTAAACGATACTCTACATTCGAATACAGTTATTTTACTTGCAAATGTGATATTTCAATAAAAGATTTCGCAAATCAAGCGATTTCATTGGTCCGATTTGTATTCTCAAGCCGTACCTTAGTAATGACCTTTCTGCGCATGCGCAGTGATTGAGTTCGACGGATTTTTGTCAACAAACAAACATGGCTACGTGATTGTCTTCATATCAATTTTTGCAATAACAAACCATTTGTTTTCAACACGACGTGTAAATAATGCAGTTATTGCTCGAAATAACAGATACCATGACAGGAGTACATTGTTCAGCGAAAGAAATTTGAAGGTAATTTTTTTTAATAACTAGACGCTAAATCTAGATCTAGTGAAGTCGCCATGCCACCACACAGCGATATCTCACTGACTTCACTGACTGACGCGCTGACATTAGTTTCTAAATCTACTATGTTGTCTAGTACAGCTTAGTTCCTTTATAAGAATTAATTTAGTTAACTATTTACCAATGTTAAACACGCTTGTCAATTACTATTTTTAAATAAATGAAACTGTAGAACCCAGTCATAACTAAGCGACCCACGACCTAGATCTAGAATTTTCTAGATCTAGTCTAGAATAGTCTAGATTCTAGTTGATAGTAGTTGTATATTTAGAAATTAACATCTGTGTTTGCTGAGTATTGACTAAAATATAAATATTGGTTAAATTTTAGTATAAGCAGTTTTCTAAATTTATGGTTAGATTTATTCCTTGTGTTTTGATCTAAGGTCAGTATAATAATATAAGTATAAGCCCTATATACTATATTCAATATTGACTATTCATTATGATTAGTTTTTCAAAATACAATTTTGTTGACTATGACATTATTAGGTTGTTACAATAGGGTGAGTTACTGCTAATATTAGTCATTCTAGTTATGTATATTATTAACTTTTTAAAATTAAATAAAAAGTTGTTCTTTTATTTTTATTTTACAGTCCAACAATTCCTACAATGAATGCCGAACCCAAATCAGTTTTGACTGCAAACAAGAATCAAGAAATATAACTGTCCCTTACATTATTTGCTTGCTGACATCTACATATCCAGAAGATATGCCACAATTAGGACTGCAAGCATTGTGGATAAAACTTGGGGCTTTCCGCAAGGAAATGTGATGTCATGAAATGTAAATTTGACCTCATGGTTTACAAGAAGCTCACTTTAGATACACCTACATCATGATGTCAATATTAGAGCCATGTTATCTATAAAGACAGTGGTGTTAGTTTCTCAACATTCAGATGTTTACTTGGTGAATGGATTTGAAAAAAAACAATGAATCTCTCATCATTTTACATACTGTTGCGCAAAGTTTTGCTGCGATACTACTAAGTAAGTACGCTAAAGCTGCTTATGTTTTTATTAGCAAGATAAATGCTGTTTGTACTAGAACTTAAGAGCAATACAGCAGCAAAGTGCCCATCTACTATAAATAACTTATGATGTCAAGTTATTGAGCTCACCCTTTTCAAGCAGAATTGTGAATGTCGTCATAAGCTAAAGTTGTATGTGAATATTATTAGTACATTATTTGTCAAATTTGTATTAAACTATAGTTCAAATATGCTAAAATGTACTATATCAAGCTTGTGTTAGTCTGGGAAAAAGACAATAGCAACTACACATGTCAATAGTTGATCAGAAAGGTTTAACTTTTAGTGAAAGTAAACTGCGGAATTGTGCACACTTAACCACTATAAGATTATAAGTGGTAAAACTTCAGAAGAATGTGCAAACTATAGTTGGCAATGGTTTATTTTTCAACTGCATATGTTGAACTTTGAATACTAAAAGTTTCTTCCTGATATTGCTGATAGATTTTTTTTTATGGCACTTTAAATGTTTAAAAGTTAATTTTCTCAAAACTTGTTTTTTCACGATTTTTGCTTATTGTAACTCTAATGTTTTAGCTGTTTGCAGAGATAATGTCTTGAAACTTGGTGTACTTTTTCATTATTCATGTTTTGGTGTAACTATACATGTGAGAATGATGTGCATTGTGTACATTTTTATTTTTAAGAAATTTCATAACTTGTATGCCTTGTTTTGAATGATACATTTTTTATAAAAATTGAAAAAAATGTTTCTTTTACATTTTAATGAAAACAAACTGCTACTGTACACTCTAAAAGGGTTCTAGTTAAATAAACAGAAATAAAACCATCATTATTTGTTCACATTATTGAAACATTAGATTTGTAAAAAAGGTGTTTTTTTCAAGATGGCCGCCGTTACCATGGCAACCATGCATAATTAGGTCCTCAGAATGTGGAATTTTTATTTACAGTTGCTAACCATTAATAATAGTATATTGTTACTTGCTTATCTCTGCTGTGGGCTAGTTTGGTTTTTGCAGTGTAGAGGCCCCTTAATATTTTTTAAAAATTCTCTCCCCTCCGTTTAAATTTGTTTCAGGGCCGAGACCATCTCCTTGGAGACGATATTCGGAAACGACACGGACGAGAAACAGAGCTACAAATTCCGGTTTGAGAAAACCAGGAAAACAGTCATCAACGTGCTCATACAGAAAGGATTCACCTTCGGCGGCAAGGCTAATTTTAGCGTGGGGATTCCCAAACAATTGAAATTTGGCTTGGAGACAGATTTACATTACCAGGTAGGCTTAAAGTAACTTAAACGATTGGATACGTCGTTGAAAAGTTATATGATACTTACATAGAGGTTTGGTTTGTATTTTATTCGTGGTCTTTTGGTTTATAGATTTTTAGTTTATAGATATAAGTTGTAATGTATTGTATCAATATTTGAAAATGACAAGAAAAAGACGAAACAATTACAAACTCACAAAATGACTGCATTTTAAATTAATACGGCCATTGCAAAAAAAAAGCTATTAATAAAAAGTGTTTATGTAAATGCCTCTTAAAATGTTATTGTTTTTTATTCAAAAACATTATATTCCTACAAATTTTAGCAAGCTTTCATTCTTTATAAAACGAGAATTTCATTTTTTGTCTCACATTTCTACCTAAGTTATCTTTTTCCCTTTCTTCAATCTTTCAAATGCTTGGACTTCAAGTAAGATTGTAAAAAAAAAAACAAAAAAAAAAACGATATTTGCCGAAGTGCTTTCTTGATTTTAGGCGTTGTTTTGAAGTACTTTGGAGTACACTAGATTACCAACTTTCCCGTTGGAATACATATTAGAAGAGCGTCTAGTTCAAGGTGTTAGAAATATTTTTGAGGTTTGTTTGGGTTTGGCTTGGGTTTAAGTTAGACATACATTATGCATGGGGCCGATATTTACTAATTATGGATATGTTCCGGCAAGTTGTGATTGCAGTGGCGGAGCTGGGTTATTTGCTGTCTGGCGTGAACCTGCTGCTGATACCCAGCTATACACAGCTATACCCAGCTGTACACAGCTATACACAGCTACACCCAGCTATACACAGCTATACACAGCTGAATCGTTTGGTGGAAGTATTTTTTTCAGACCTCTCTTCGGCTCTTCCGAAGCACGGCTACGGCACCCTCCCCCGAAAGCAAAGGGAAATAAATTATTTTGAAAATATATACTTTAACGAGCGTTATCCCCCCTCCCCAAATGTTTTAAGTGAACCCCTCCACCCACGGAGAAAATGTCTGAAAGAAACCCTAGTTTGGTGCTCTTTACTCACATATTTTGTTTACCTTCTTCTTCTTCTTCGTTCTTAATTTTAATGTTGGAAGGGATCCCACTCCAACACAATTCAGGATACGTGTCAACTGGTTATGCGCCATTGAAGCCATTGACTCCGATTTCAGCCTGCTTTTCTTTTTGGATTTGCTTCCATAGCCTTTGTCCAAACCAAGAACAAACTACAAAGCAGCAGTTGTTTAATTTTGGAGTTGTCTCTCCTAGAAGAGTGGCTGTCCCCAGCAAACGAGCCTGCCGAGGGTTCGAACTTGAGACTTTTCGGCTTAGCAACCATGAGCTTTACCGACTCGACCCCTTTTTTTATTACCTGATCTGACCCTTCCTAATGTGTATGTTGTGTTTTGTTTTCCACAGCTGAATACAACAGACGCGCACACATTTGAAGAGTCGGTGATGATGGAAGCCACTAGCGACATCTGTGTTGGCGCCCACAGCTGCTACGTCGTCAACGTGGAGCTTCGGGAAGTCCCCATTCACTACAAATTCAAGTTCGTCACGCGCATGTCCATGCCCCTCGGCAGCGCCCCAATTTACATTCATAAAAAACAAAATGGCGAAAAAGTGTTCACCTACGTGGTGCGGGATTTGCGTGATGACGTAAGCAACAAAAAGGTCACGTGTAGTCAAGACGTCATTGACTCCAACGGACACGTGTCGAAGAAAACAATTGATTTAGTAGTGGAGGGGGTTTTGAAAGGCGTCTTAGCCTGTAACCACAAAATATTGCTCAGAAACGACAAAACAAAGCAGGAATCAAAATCACTAAATACGCATTAGTATGCCCATTTAAATAACGTATCTATTACTTTATTAGTCTAAAGCAGGGGTCTCCAAACTACGGCCCGCGGGCCGGATGCGGCCCGCGAAGTCCTCTCATCCGGCCCGCGGAGATCTTTTTGTCTAAGGAAAAATCGTTTGTTGGTGATGGCTGAGGAACTTTGCCCATAGAACTCAAAGACATGCCTGAAAGAAACTGGCCCCCGAACTGAAATTTGATAGTTAATGCGGCCCTCGGTCTTAAAAGTTTGGAGACCCCTGGTCTAAAGTCTAAATGTATGCAACGGTTCTGTAATTTACCATAACTGGAGTAGTTGGGACATAATTTTTTTAGAATTCTTAGCCATCTTTATCGGTCATCTGCGGCTTGTATTAATTAATCCTGCAAAGGGCAGCCTATTCCATTCCTTGATGTCATTCATCCAATTCCATTTTTGTCTTTGCCTTCCTTGCATTTTTCCTTGAGAAATGGGCGTTTTCATCAGCAGTGCATTTTCCCCGGAAGTTAAAGACTGTGTGTGAAAATGTACCGGATCAAATATTCCTATACTGCTCTATATTAACTACGAGAATGTACATGGCTTTACATTACTATATCGCTAAAATAACACTTGTTCATTGTGCTGGAATTGTCCAGAATATTGTGTCAGTTTTAGTCGTCCTGCAAGGAGGGAGTTGTATTCGACGATTTCAGGCAAACTTTGTTTTATATACATTCGAATTAGGCCTAGTGGCGGACGCCAATTTCCTAACTACAAAATTCAAATGCAAGTCTTTATAGAACACTCGTGATCACTCATCAGCAAAGTCTTCTGTTACTAAAAAAACCAAAGCCCTGCTTCTCCCCCCCCCCTCCCCCACTCATGCAACTCCAATACTGATATCTGCATGGAGGACTAGATTTTAAAAAACAAAACAATGAAGAGCAAGTGACAAAAAATAAACTGGTTAGTCACAGCAGTGGCGTCGCTAGGTCGGGTGTCAGCCGGGGCCAGAGGCGTAGCGAGGGGGGGGGGGGCGGGGGGGGGGACATATGTCCCCGGGCGCCGACCATAGGGGGGGGGCGCCAAATTGAAAGTTTGAGGGGGGGGGTGCAAATCGAAAGTTTGAGGGGGGGCAAACCAAAAGTTCGAGAGGCGGGGTGCAAATCGAAAGTTTGAGGGGGGGGGGGTGCAAATCGAAAGTTTGTCCCCGGGCGCCGGGAAGGGTCGCTACGCCTCTGGCCGGGGCTGCACTTCATGGTGTCAACCACCCCCCCCCCCCCCCCCCAATGTAGTTATATATAACTACATTTGTACTTAAAATTATTAATGGGACAGGCAAAAAGGCATTTTTCGTGTGAAAATTTGGCAATTTTTTGCCTTGGTGTCACCTCTCCTAAATATTGTCACCCGGTGCGGCCCAGGCCCCCCGCGCCGCCTTCGCTACGCCTCTGAGTCAAAGGAACAAAGGAACTAACATCGCTTTAATCATCACTAGAACTTTAAAGAAGAGTGGGACTATTCAGGGACTTAAGCAGTCTTGTTCAACAGTACTACACACATTTTGTTTGGTCTACTTCATTAGCCACATTATTGAGCCGATCCTGCAAGAATTCTACGGACAGTGTGTTTAGGTATGTAGGCATGGGATTTACCGCCCAGTGAAAACAGCACCACCCGCTGTGTCTAACCAGCAACTATAGGTGTATTGGCCGCTAGCCAGAGGACTATAAGGAGGTCAGAAGCAAGTGTGACCTCCTAAAGTTGACAAGTTGATGTGTGACTTCACCTGACCAGGTGTGTTGATGTGTGACTTCACCTGACCAGGTGTATTGATGTGTGACCTCACCTGACCAGGTGTGTTGATGTGTGACCTCACCTGACCAGGTGTGTTGATGTGTGACCTCACCTAAGCTGACCAGGTGTGTTGATGTCAGTGCCAGGTGTCTACTCCTGTAGGTGAGACTAGACTTTTCAGTGTCGTAAGTCCCCTTATGACTTCCATTATCATATTAATTATTGCTTTATCAAAAGACGTAAATTTAAATAATATATCATTTGGGATGGCGTGATTGAATGATAGAGCTTATGAATGCTAAACCATAAGTCTCAAGTTCAGATCCCTGGCTAGAGTCTGTAGAATGTTCCTGAGTTCACCCAGTTCTAATGGGTACCCGACTAACCTTTGGGAAACAAAGTCGGTTGAGCATAGTGCTGACGACAATATCCCCTCATATGCTGATGTCATTGAAACAGATTAACTCTACCCTCTGCCCTAAGTGCCTTGGGCAGAAATGGGGAAAAGATGATGATGATATTCATCAATCCCATTATTACAGTTATACATCTCATCTATATATACTTCACTAGTTCCTGAAGTCATATATCATGCTTTTTATTTTAGCAACAACAACAAAACTAAAAAAAATTTCTTTGAAATGTATGAACTAGGAATTAATAAAACATAACAATTAAATTTTTAAATGTTTACTTCAAATAAATAATTTGTCATTTATCATATTAGGTAAAGATAATAATTATAAACTAATTACCATCTTATTGCAATGAAAACATTTTCTTTATTTTAAAACATTTGTTTTATGGAACACAGTACTTAAAGCAAATCTTAAAAATTAGTAGGTTAATAATATCTATTAATATCATATTTTTAAACATTTTTAAAATCTTTTACTTTTTTACAGGTTAGATCCTGATGAATAAACAAGAAATATATTTTCTAAAAGTAGTAGCGATCCTCAGCTACATCCACAGTGCAGTATTACCTTATCACTGTTTTTTTTATAAAGGAAGTTAAAGAGATGTCTTTCAAGACAAAAACTATCACCAATATTTGTAAGTTACTCTAAAAACACTTTTTTTCTAAATAGTGACTGTAGAGAACATGTTTGAAAGGCAGATAACATAAAATATTTTTTAAAATAGTAACCATCATAATAATTACTGAAAAATGAATCTATTCTATGGGCAGTAGATCCAATATAAAAACACATTTAACATCCCAAAAACTAAATTAAGCAATAACAGATTGCATAAATATAAAACAATATTTATCATATAGATAAATGTATCACAGATAGGTTATGTCATTGCAAATTATATAATTATTATAAAAAAAATGTGAATTGTAAGTAAAACTTCAATAGTGAGAATAAAATATTGGACAAAAGATTAGGCCAATCAGATTTTATGATGAAATCTAAATTGATATGAATACATAAAATAAAATTATGGCTGATAATTGTTTAAAAAAAGTATATGACCCTCCAATACAGATTATGTTTTAAACACTACAGTGTTATTAGAAGTGTTCAATTTACATTGACTTTAATTATGGTCTTTAAAATAGTCTCTGAGTCATAAGGATAATCTCACGACTGTTTAAGAATCTGATTAAATAATATAAGTTTAGTGTGGGTAGACCATCTGTTATGAATCAAAAAGAAGTGTTGACTTTATGAAGTTTTAATAAAACTTCAAAATCACTATCCAGGCAAAAAAAAAAAAAAAAATTCAAATAGTGATGGAGGATCATACATGTAACAGTGGTAGAAACCAGTGAATGAATATGTGTACGGAGAGAAACATCATGCAGACCGACATATATTTTACACAAAGAAAACAATAATCGCATGAGATATAAATGTCAATTATGTTGATGGTTGCGGGAAGAAATCTGCCAGCTCATCATTTTTCTTCTTTTTAAGTCGAACGACAAAATATTTTCCGTCTTTCTTAGTGTCATCCTGTGTCAAAAATGCAAAAGTTAATGTAACTACAATTGAAACGGTAAACTGGGAAAAAAATTTGTAAATATTTTTTAAAGTACCTTACACTAAAAAAAAACTGGGAATATAACATAACAATCATGAAAATAACATATTAGGTATCACTTAATTCATTCATTTGGATGGGGAAAAAAGTAATGACTTGAAAAAATAAAGTCAGATGTGCTAAACCTAAAATAATTTTGTACTTAAATAAAATCTAGACAGTTACAACTGTGAGAAAAAAAATATCCTTACCTTCTTGAAAGCTTTGGTTGGGAAGGGCAACGACTCATGGCGAGCTACAACTGCTTCACCCTTTAAAATACTGAACACAACTCTTTGATGTTTACTGTAATAGAAGAAAACAAAAGAAAACTACAAACAATTTTCTAAGGAGAAATTTGGTATCTAGATTTTAATGATATATTAAATAAAGTGATAAGAAAAATCTTTCCAATTTCTAGCTCAAAAGTAAAAACTTGATTAAAACAAACCCAAAAATTCTGAGACCATTGCCAAAATAATAACAATATTGCTGTCTTATTTCAGCATGTATTAACTCTTCGCTTATTTCACCTGGGGAGCACCCACAGTCACTAAATAACTTTCATAATATAATTTCAAAATATAGTAATATTGAACACTAAACATGTTTAAAAAAATGAATATCATTGTGAAGGCTGAGAAATTTTGGCCACAAATTTTAAACAGGACTTACTTGTCTACATCTTGTATAGTTAGATCATACTTGTATTCACTCGACATCAGATCATCAGGTATGGTGTAGGTGATCACAGAACATCCATGACGACATCCAGCACTGACTGAAATAACATCCAAACATTTTAGGATGCAATAGGACATACAATTAGTTTTTTTTGTTAAAAAATACACATAGGCAAGTCACAATGCAGTAGGGCATCTAGCACTGACTGAAATAACATCCAAACATTTTCCTTTAGGATGCATGGCGAGAAAAGAAATCTCTATGTTAAACCATCTTGCACTGGTATAACCATTGAAACAAACACATAGGCAAATCACAATGCAATATGACATCTCGCACTGACTGAAATAGCATCCACATTTTTTCCTTTAAAAGGTAAAGCAAGAAAAGATATGTACATCTTTAGCAGAACAATACATAAAACCACAAAATGTAATAATTGTTAGTCACCTTCTCTGGGCTCATTCATTTTATAGGCCTACTTTAAAATCACATTGTCTTGATGATGATCTGTAAAAAAAAAAAATATTTTTCAAATTTCTACAAATAGTTATTAATATTTTTCTATCCCTTGAAACGCTATGTCCATCAAAATGCTTTTTCTAGGTAATATTACATTTTAGAATCACAAATAGAAATTTTACTAGTCACAAACATTTTTAAAGCCAATATTGTGTTATATTTTATTTTCATCTCGAGTCTAGTTGCTTTGGCAACTATTGTTTTAGGCTTTATATCTTCCCTGTGCATTCTGGAATTCATCATTTTTAACAGTTTACTTATACTGTTAGTGTTAGTTTGCATCACTTCTGGGCCTAATTTAATATTCAAAATTAAAAACCACGGAAGCTCATAATTAAAATTAAATAGTATTTAGGCTATACATAGTGGGATGTCTATTCTAAACCTATCTTTGTTACTGAAATTAGTCTCAGTCTCAACCATACTATCCCAGAGTCTAACTGGCACCTTCGTGTATTTAAGACTGATAGTTAGGGCAGCTAAACATTGTACGAGTCTGTCTGTGACATTTTATGCTGTGGTCATAGCAAAACTTTGCATGATGTGTTATATGTCATATAGGTTTGGATTGATTACTAATACTACTAGATCTATCTGAAAATAAGACTAACGGTGTTTAATTTAAATTGATTTCAGATACCTCAAGCAATTTATGAGTAGTGTCAGTCTCAAAATGAAATGGAATAAGAATGGTAAAAAAGTTGCAGACATTTATCAGCAGATATTCTAATAAATGTTTAAATTTTAAAAGAAAATCATTTTACAACTTTAATATTATTAAATTATTTAGTTTTAATAAATTTAATATTTATTTATTGCCTAATTTTTATTGCAATTTTTACATGTTTCTAGTTAATTAAAAAAAAAATAGAAATTGATGTTCATCAACAGTTCTAGATATCTAGAATCTAGATCTACTTATAACTTAAGTAAAAGTAAAGTTCCCATTCCAAACCTGATGGTATGGTCTATGGGGCAAGTGAAGTAGAGTTCACATTTTTCTGCGACCTTGGCATATGATGAGATAGTATGGTCTAATCACTAATGTGAGTTAGGTACCTATCAGAGCCTCAGAGCTGGGTAGACTCAGGGACAGTCTACCGACTTGAACCTGGATTCAAACTCGAGACTTATGGGTTAGCAGTCTAGCTCTCAGAGTCTCAACCGCTAAGCCACTCCGTTCCCCTAGATCTACTTGGCTAAGTCATAAGTTGGGACGCAAGTTGGCGCAACTTTATGACCTTCCTTTAAATTACAAAGCCTGCAAAGAATGTGATCTATTGTTCAATTGTTGTATCTAAGTTAAACTAAGTTTTGATCTAGAATCTACACAATTGTGGTTTACATGATGTGGTCTACACAATGCTGCCATGTTTAAACAAAGTGACTACTCGGAAGAAGATTTTTCTCCCCGTCTCCACTTAGTCGGCAAAAGATAGCTCTGCGCATGAGCAGTGACCTATGGCTAGGGTTAGGGATAAAGCTAGGGTTAGGGGTAGGGTTAGGATTAGGGCTAGGGTTAGGGATAGGATTAGGGTTGATGTTAGGGTTCTGCGGTTGTAAACACACTCATGCGCAGTACCATCGAAAACATCGCCACGATGGCAAGTGTAGTTTCTCTCCATTGCGCATGCTTATCTTTTTCCGGCTAGCATCGGCCATGTTTAAATTACAAAACGAGCAAACAATTTGTTCCGCAGGTTATTTTTGGCCTATAGATTTTGTGGTTTACACGATGTTCTACATTCTACACATTGTTCTCTATACGATGTAGATCTATAACTGTAGACTGTAGGCCTAGATCTAGAATCTATATAGAATAGATCTATATGCACAATACTCAATACAATTTGGAAAATATTTTAATGTTTGAGTTAATAACTTAATATTAATAGAATACTAAAACTATCTATACTAATAATACTTAGTACTATAGTATTATTATTAGGGCCCTATTGAATTATTTTATTAATATTATTACCTAGCCTAAATCACAGCAAGAAACCTGCACGGTTGTTTGATGCCAGGCCGGGGGTTCGTTCTGCCAGGGATACACACAAAAAAGTACAAAGGGTCGCGATTCTACTTTCTACTAGATATAGATTATAGAATCTATTTAGAATCTAGATCTCTAGATATAGATCTAGATCTCTAGATTTTGTAGATTAAACAGCGAAGTCTACTTTTTAAATTAGCAGACTAAAGACTAAAGGGTTCGTCCAGTTACCGCCTACATTGGGAGCTTCAAAAATCATTGTAGTCACCGCGCCTCGCTTTTAACGCATTAAAGCGTTGAGGTCTTATTTTAAAATACATTTGTTTCATATGCACACGCATATATATATATATATATATATATATATATATATATATATATATATATATATATATATATATATAAGAGGCGAGTCGGGGTTGGGGGGTGCGGACCGCACCGGGTGACATCATTTAAGGGGGTGACATCAAAACAAAAAAAAATTGCAAGATATATAGAATAAATATGTTTTTGACAGTTCAATGGGTAAAATCACGATATAGCGTCGGAAATTATTGGGTAATGTTCGTTGAGTTTCGGTAACATTTGTTACTGTAAACCATAGTTTATTTGACCGGTGAAAGAAAATTAAGTCAAGTGCATTAAATTAATGTTTTAACTTAATTTAATGTTTAACTGACAAAAAATTAGCAACAATTAGTAAATCTAAATATTATTAATAAAGTCGAGTGTAGTAATTAATGTTTTTTTTTAAGAAACAGAAAAAAACCTGCAGAAGATTTGCGACAACCAACTCTGTTAGTAAATAAGACGATTAGATTAACTAAAGTTAAAAGTAGTAAGAATAACTAGAATAATGTTTAGTAGCAGCAATAATTAGCACATACACTTAAAATAATTAGAAATACAAAATAATTAGCAAAACAGTATTTAAAATGCAACTAAAATCAATCCTTGCACATTTTTAAACATTATGTATTAAAAATAATAAGGCGGCAAATAAATGATGGTTTACAGTATTTCCGGTGGTTTCCGGAACGGCACGACAGACTACGCCATGGTTTTACTATTTTTTTTACTGCTGTACAGTTCCGGAATAATAACCGACGCTATATCGTGATTTTACCGTTCAATGAATGGTCAGAGTTAAAAAGTATTTTAATGACATATATTGATCTTGGCAAGGGATGGGGGGGGGGGGGGGGGGGGGGTTTGACACCATGACATAAAAATGCAAACTATAGAGAATAAAATGCTACACCCAGCTTTATTAAAAAACTGACTATAGATAACCATCATAAGCAGTTTTTCTTCCAGGCTTTTTTTCTCCGGGGGGGGGGGGGGCACTTGAAATCTTCGGGGGGCGGTAAACTTTCTTCGGGGGGGGGGGGCGGACACTGTTAAAAGTATATATTTTCTATATAAATTATATAAATTTCATTTCGTTCTGGGGGGGGGGGGCGGTAAAAATTTTTCGGGGGGGGCTTTGCCCCCCCCCCCCCCGAAGAGATGCCTGGAAGAAACTCTGCACGAAAACAAGACAACCCTCCCCCTTCGTCCACCTGGGTGTCATTTACTGTTTCTATCCGTTTCCCATCGCATTTACATAAAGATTATAATATTATATCAGAAACTCTGATCATAAGTATTAAGTGTGAACACTTTTTAAGCTATTACCGGGGTGGGGTTGAAACAAACTTCAAAAACGGACACCCGACCTGTAGCGATATATATATATATATATATATATATATATATATATATATATATATATATATATATATATATATATATATATATATATATATATATATATATATATATATATATATATATATATATATATGTATATATATAGCGAGGCCAACTTTGCTATTTTTCCCTCATACATTTAGTGACCTGTTAGATTAATAATTTACAAATTCTTGTGCTGTCATCTGAAACCAATTTATTTTGCATTAGAAGTGGCTCAATTGAATTAAGATATTTGATGACTACCAACAGATAGACAGACAGACTGTCGCCTCAGCAAATGCTTGTAAAAAGAACCGTATTCAAAATAAAATCTTTAAATAAAACCAAGGGTGGTAACCGCTATGTTGGGTTTAAATTTATTTAGACTTGTTACTTCCCTTGAATTGGACAAAAATAAAAGTAGAGCTGCTGAGGAATTCATTTAGTATATTATAATATATTTTTTTATATATGTATGCTTTTTTGTATAACACTACTATATACTGGCACACACACACACAGACAGACACACACAGACACATATATATATATATATATATATATATATATATATATATGAGTGTGTTTGTGTGCTAGTGTTGTGTTGTTGTTGTGTGTGTGTGTCTATGTGTTGGTAACCTACACAAAATTAGACACTTTGCCTTTAATGTTGCCGTGGTGTCGCCTCTCTATTGACGCCAGATGACGTCACACTCGGTTTGCTGATGTGAATAACACTAATCACCTATACCCATTAACTTGGAAAATGAAATGTTTTCATGTAAATTTAGCTGGTTGTTAATTTTTTGCTAGTCATAAAATGTTATTCAGTGCGGCCGGCACCTTCTCCTATACACTACTGTCTTACAATTGTTGTTTTAACTTAATAACATTGCTATGATAGTATAAATGAAAAGATCAGCCGGAAATACCCGAAGTCAAATACGATGGCGAGGTGTGGTTGCGTCCTAGTGCTCCTAACTGGTCAATATAAATGCTGCTGCTGGTATCAGTGGCGTAGCGAGGTCGGATGTCACCCGGTGCGGCACTTAATGGTGTCACCCCCCCCCCCCCCAGAAGCGTTGCGACCCTGGTCCCAGGGACAAGTTTTTGTCTATATATTTCGCTATTTTTTGCCTTGGTGTCACCCCCCTAAATGGTGTCAACCGGTGCGGTCCGCACCCCCCGCTACGCCTCTGGCTGGTATAATAATTTTTTTCTTACTTAAGCTTCCCATCAAACATCATTTCAGTTTTTAATAATTATTTATAAAATGTGAATGAATGGGGTAGAAGAGAAAGGCGAATTGTTAAAGTATTGTACAACACAAAAATTCGATCCGTGTTTGACTAATCTAGATAAACACACACGTAAATCATAAGCTTTAAAACACCAAAAAAAAAATGTCAGAAGTTTTTTAAAAATTTTTTTACCACAACAAAACGGCTGTGAACCGACCATGAACGAAGAGAAGGAATTATCTTTCATAGTTTAACTTGACATGATTGAACTGAGAGATGTGTTATGAGAAAGGTGGAGGACTATCAAACATCAAGGAGGCGTGGTCGTGTCTAAGATAGATAAATACGTCATGAGAGCCAACATTCGAAATTTTTGTTTGTTGGCGTGTGTGTTAATGAGGTGGTAGGGAGGGGGGTGGACTATATTTCTTGATGCACGGGACAGACTTTATAATATCACCCTGCAACCTTATATATTTACATTAAAAAAGTGTTGTCCATGGCGGTAACTCCCCCCCCCCCACCCCTTTACCCAGAGTTACGCCATTGGTTTAATAATTTGCCTGAACAAGCTACACTGGCAAGTCACACAGATAACCAACACACCAAGAGAAAATGTGTGTAAGCTTTCGGTTGCTACACTGGCAAGTCACACAGATAACCAACACACCAAGAGAAAATGTGTGTAAGCTTTCGGTTGCTACACTGGCAAGTCACACAGATAACCAACACACCAAGAGAAAGTGTGTGTAAGCTTTCAGTTGCTACACTGGCAAGTCACAGAGATAGCCAAAACATCAACACAAGTGATTTGTTTTAGGTCAATATAAAGTGTGTGTAAGCACTCAGTTGCTAAAAAATCTGGCTGCGCCACTGGGAGAATGCGTACACTGAGACACTGGTAATGGTAACACTAATAACCCCTTGGAAGCCAGGGCCTAATGTTAAGCTCGAGACAGTCATCCGACAGATTTATTTTATAGCTTGACCCAGAGGCGTAGCAAGGTGGGTGCGGACTGCACCGGGTGACACCATTTAGGGGGAGGGGTGACACCAAAGGAAAAAAATAGCAAAATATATAGAGAAAAACTTAAAAAGGGGGGGTGCAAATCGAAAGTTTGAGGGGGGGGGTGCAAATCGAAAGTTTGAGGGGGGTGCAAATCAAAAGTTTGAGGGGGGGGTGCAAATAAAAAATTTGAAAGTTTGTCCCCGGGAAGGGTCACTACGCCTCTGGGGGTGACACCATTAAGTGCCGCACCGGTTGACTCCCGACCTCGCTACGCCACTGGCTTGACCCCTCCACTTCCACGGGGAAATGACCTGCTTGCGTCCAAGATACCCCTCATGTTAAGAGCTTTATCAACTAGAAAACTAGACCTATTTATTTATTTTTAAATCTAAGAAAAAATACTTAAGGGGAGACAACGTAAGTTATGCTATATCTAGAACAAGGACATTTAGTAAACTGTTTGCGGGGGAGGTTGTTCATTTATAATTGTTGCAAAAAGGTATACAAATAATAAAAGAAAAAGTACTATAATCAACAAACTTTCACAATTAGAATATCTAATATATTATAAGCTCTAAACATTTTTAAAGGCACGGAAGATTTAATATTTTCTTCGTTTTATAATTAAGCAGTTGCCATATATTCTATAGTGCGATGACTATCGCAACAGGCGGTTTTTTTTATTTACTTTCTCGTATATACCAGGGGTCGGCAACCCGCGGCTCGCGAGCCGCATGCGGCTCTCTTGATATCAAGATGCGGCTCTCCAGCTCCTTGGACAAATACTAATAATCTTAATAAAAAAATAAAATATTTGAAATGAAAAAAATGTTAGTGGCTCTTTAAAACCAGGGAAATTTTGAAAATTGTAACTTTTGGCTCTTCCGCTTCAAAAGGTTGCCGACCCCTGGTATATACCATGGGTCGGCAACCTTTTGAGACAGAAAAGCCAAAAGTCACAATTTACAAAATTTCCCACCTTTTAAAGAGCCACAAACATTTTAATTTCAAAATAATATTTCGATCTTTGATTAGGATAAGGTATATAT